AAGTGTTATTTTTAAAATGTGAGAATTCTAAGTGTTTGAGGTTTAGCTTTGCAACAAGGTGACCTCAAGCAGGTCACCTACCCTTTTGAGAGCTTCAGTTTCCTCTTCTGTAAAATGGGGGTTCTACTCATTTTATGATTATTTTGACTACTAAATGAAATCATAATTTTAGTTACAAATATTAGCCATTACTACCACCACAATAATAATGTAAGAGAAATTACTGAATGACTAAGATTGACTATAGTCCTTCTTTATAACTATGTAATAATAACAATGTTAGAAAAATTACATAATACTGGCAATAAACAAGTTAAATCAACTATTTATCAGGAGTTCTGAAGCCACTAGAAGAATTTGCATTTCACAGAGCCTACACACTCTGAAATTTGGTCTGGGTCGTGTTCTCTATAAGCTTTCTACTCCTCCTCCTCTTCCTTCTATCATTATTATCTATTTTTATTTTCTTATACTTGTCAACAAAGGGAAGACTTTCACATTACATATGTATTTTGTTCTATACCATATGGATAATGCTATACTGACCATTTATACAATAGCTTCTACAAGTCCTCTTCTAAGAGTAACACAGAAAATATTTCCTAAATTACTTAGCTTCTTAGATTAAATGGAATTATCTAAATACATAATCAATTACTCACCAGAATTTTAACAGGAACTTATTTTTAAGTATTTACAATGCAATACATACAATCATTGCAATTTCCTAGTGCAAATAAATGAAATTCTAAAGTAAAATTTCTAAAGTAAAATAATACATTAAAGACTGTTCTTGATTCATTTCCAAAGCTAATATCAACGCAACTCATTCATTCATTGAATTTCTAAATACCTACCATTTATAAGATCCTTTGCTAGACACTAGGCTACATAATGGCCATACACAAGATAAACTCATATTAAAGTTAAAAGATCAAGAAATGTTATCTAAACTTGCCTGTGTTTCTGGTAGGACAAATAATCAGCCATTGCTGTGTGACCCATGGAGCTCCTCTTCTTTGGATGGGCACTAACTTCTGGTGTTCCTTAGCTCTAGGCCATGTAAACCACAAAGCCAGGAATGAGATGTCACTGTCCTGAGCTTATCCCCAGCAGCTCTCAGTGGCTCAACTCATCTAAGTCTTCCTCCTTTGCTTTCTTTCTCCACATCATGACATTCGCAACTTTTTAGTGTCACTTTTTAATGAATAAAATAATCTGGAAAATATTTTCATAGTTTTTATTTCAATAAAACAAGAGGCAACACTTGATGTATAAAGTACTACATATGGAGAACATTTACATCAATGTACAAAACTTCCAAAAAGCTAAACTACAATTTATTCCAGAGCCTAAAAAAAGGTCAGGAAAACACATAAAAATACCAAGTAGTGTTTATTCTTTAGGAATGTAAAATCTAAGAACACAGAAATAAGTATGCTTGCTGGGAAAAAATATCACTACATGTCTGAGAAAGTAGGAAGTACACAAGATGCTCCATAAGAAAAGAAACAACAGTATGTGAAATAGAATCTCGAGGCTAGTAAAAAGCACATATTCAGACACAGGTGCACTAGCATCCTGTTATGAAAAATACAATACATCTTCAAAATGTTCACTACTAGTCTTTTTAGATAAGCACAAGCTACAAAGTAAAAAGACAACATATTAATGTTCTCTGATAAAAATTTAACAATATTAAATGTAAATCTCAATCACTGTAAATATTCAGTATAATTTCACTAAGCAATGTCTAAAGGTATAAATTCATGCTAAAGAATTAGAGAGCTTTAATTTTTCATTCCAAGATTAGGAAGACATTATTATACATTATCCTCTATCTACAATGCTTAATTCAAGTACCTACACAGTTATTTGTGTTTTTTAATTTTTAAAATATTTTTCAGTTACATTATTTAACATATACTTCCTTGATGTGCTTTTCTTTAATATAGATTTACTCTGCCTTTGGGCCCAAATATTTACCTGTCTTAAGTTTTAGTTTAAAATTATGTCTCAAGTTATTTTTTTCTAAAATTTAACACTTTAGTTATATTTTTTTAAACATAGCGAAATCTTGTACATTTGGGACCACTTTCACCTATTTTGGCTTGATATATATATATATATATATATATATATATATATATATATATATATATAAAGTTTGCTGAGCAGTTGCTTCATAGTTAAAAAGGGTGATGGAATATTGCTTTTTCAAAATGAACTTCAGTTATCATGTAAGGACTAAAAATTTATACTTCATAAGTCTACCTTTAAAAGTTCTGGTGGTGTACAAGGGACCTCAGGGGTGCTTACTTGCAGCTTCAGGGAGAGAAAGGTAGACACTTGCCTTGGATATTTTGGGACACTCCCTGCTTGGATTTCAAGAAGCTAGTGCTGGGTCCAACATCACTAGAACACCCAGGCAGCTGTTTAAAGTGCCACAGGTTGGGTGCCTTCAAGAATCCATTCAGGTTTAAAATATGGATTGGAGCTGTAATACCTTGATAAATGGTGTTACTCTGGATACACAAGAGATCTGTGACCATAGCATTGTTATAAGGAAGAGACCTATAAAGCCAGCTCGCCTTTCCAACTTGACAGGTGGAGTAGAAAATGAGTAGTAAGGATAAGAACAAATTTTCAGTTTATAATTTCCAATTTTATAAGTGCTATAAAGCTTTCAGTGTGTAATCCTCACTGCAAGTGTTATCAAAGGTATTATTATAAAAGGCTTTATTAATATATTCCATGCTCCAAAAAAATCAATTGGTACAAGTCATTTGGAGCAAAAATCAGAATTACTCCAGTGAGTAACTTCAGACATTTTTTTAAAAAAGAACACACACACAAATCTGTTGTGCATTGTGCAAAAATTTAAGTACAAAAGGGGTAATCTTTCATACTTAAAATTGTAGGCATCTAAACATCTGATTTCACTTATGATTAGCAAGAAAAGTACAAAATGTTACATTTTCAACGCAGAAGTAAATGAGAATCATTACAAATTCAGACTTAGAAGATTTAATAAGTCCTTTATCATGGTAGTAAAAAGTTAATTAGCTGTCAAAAACAATGAAGATTATAATGATCTAGTATGTAACATACTTGATCAAGCTGAGAGCCTATGCATTAGACAAGTAATTTGTTTGCACTCTAATACTCTCTTCTCAAATATTAATGTTCATGAAATCAGTTGGATCTAGTTGGAGTGCCAATTATGACTCAATAGGTCTGGCCCTTAAATTCTGCATTTTTAACAAGATGCCAGTTGATACCAACTCTACTACTGGCTCTCAGAACACATGACTAGGAAAGACCTAAATTCTAAAAAAATACCAAAATGAGATTTCAATACATCAAAATCTCTCTCATTTGTGCCATCTAATGTTTCTTCAAACCTATTCTTTGTTCCTAAGCACCTAATTTGCTTAAATGCCAATATTTAAATATTTTCTAATAATATCAATTACTAGTAGATAGCTAAGCATAAGGGAATTAACCATAGACAATAGAGATTCACAGCAACATTGCACAGATACTCAAAGTTATACATAGGATTACTATTAATCCAATATCAACTTTCACTGTCCAGTTGCCTTACATTTGTAGCTCTTATTCCAGTCTGTTACTGGAACTAAAACTTGCCAAAATCGAATTTGCAAAAAATTACAGGTCTAATGAATAAAATCTAGTTCTTCATGATTTCTGAAGAATTAGGTTTAAACTGGAAGGCAAAGCAGTTATGGTCAAAACTATTCAGAATGTAAATGCTTAGTACTCTTCAACACATACAAGTTTTTCATATATTTGAGCTGTGCAAATGCAGGGTTAAGGGGAAAATTCTATCATGTTCTGCCTGTGAGAGACCATGAATAAGGACAACATCGTATACTAGAAGTCAAAGAGCCTGGAAGTAGGCAGCTTCCTATCCTAGACCTACCTCCCCAGAAGCTGATTCTCATCTGCAGCCCAGTTTTTTCTCTCCAGATTATTACTCCAAATTATTTAAATATACTAACTTTACAGGGAAGCTCGATTCTACATGAAATGACCACCACCAGCAAAAACAGAACTTCCTCTTCCTTTTACAGGCCATATAGTTCCCTAGAGCTACATATAAATTTATTAGCTTCTGCCAGCTGACCTTTACTATTTTTATTTTTTGGTGGAGGTAATTGATGTTCTTCCTACAACATAACAACTTAAAATACACCTGCTCACAAACAAGAAATATATTTATTTTTTATATTAAACTTAAGAACACAATTATAAACAACACTAAGTTAGTTAATATGCAAATGTCTTTGTCCATATCTCACTACCTTCATTTACTTTCATTACATTTTATACATGAGAAATGTATCTAATTTCCTTCATTTACTGACAAACAATTCAATATTATACAATTGATACTAGTATCTTGACAGATATGTTGCAAGATTTATGATGATCTCCAAAAAATCCTTCAGTGACATGTGCTATGAATTACAGGAATCCAACCTAACTAGGATTTCCAAAATCAAGCAGCAGGATCAGTCTACTTTTTGGCCTATTCCACTCTAGGTACTGAGAGACCTTTTTACCTGCAGAATCCAGATAAAAACTTCAAAATATCTACCATTAATCTGATTTTTGACATAAAAATGTTCAAAGATAATAACAGAAATGTACCTACTCATCTCCTGGAATCACACCATAGTTCAGGTACTGAGTTGTTAGGCATTTCCCAGCAGCTTGAACAAACTGTTCTAATCTTAAAGATGATCTGACTACAAATATTTTAATCAGGCACTTTTCATTCTCATCATTTTTGTTTTCTCACAGGCCTGTTTTTCAGGATAGCCTGGAAGGCTAGCTGTGGAATTCTGGAACTGGATCCTCTGCCTCGTGCCTTATAAAAGTTACCTTTATGTGGAGACCCACTTTGACACCTAAGGACATTGGTATAAAAAGCAAACTGACAATCTCACATGGTTGTAACTAACTTGATCAGACAATTTGGCAAAATTTATTGTCACACTGACAACTTGGGGGCAACAGTATCAAATAACAAAAGAAAAAGAAAAAGACAAGGACTCAAACCAAGGCGGTAAATACAACCAAGAGATAATAAAACCATATTTAGCTTCTGCAAACTAGACATTCCCTCATAAAGTCAAGAGAGCCTTTGGAATTTAGGACACCAGGGCTCCTGACAGAAGTAGGCATGAAAGACCAGAGACATTTTCATAAAGAAGTAGTCATGTTTCTAGATTCCATGTTTCTAGATTCACTGAAGAAAAAAATACGTTACAAATTAATCTGTGGACAGAGTAATGCTAATACTAGGAGGTCTCTGTTGACCTGCTTGATATTTCATTGGAAGTTCAGTCCTTTCTGAAACATAAATAAGCTTTTCTTCTTGGAGACTACAAGCAGAAAACCTATTGGCATCTGTCCCAGTGCCACACCCAACAGTAGATGTTGGATTATGTGGGACTGTGACACCACTGACTTGTTCAAAGGATTTACTAAATACAGTTGCCGCAGTCTTAGCCAAACCATGGCTACTGGGCTTGGGCAGGGATTGGCTGGTGGTTAAAGTTAGTCTCTTCAAGGAGAGAAGCTCAAGATTCTCACTTTGGGCTCTCTGAGTCTGTTTTCGAGCAAAGTGATCTTTGCAAGATTCCCCAGTAGTTTCTTTTTCTTTTCCTCCAGTTTTGCTTCCTCCTGACCGTCTCTGGTTCTTTCCTACACTTGTCTTGTTACTACAATTGTGACTACTGTTTGATAAACCCGACTGGCTGGTACTAGAGGCAGCCCTGGAATAAAATCCCTCGTCAACTTCAGAAATCTCCATCAGTTCTTCTTGACCTGTTAATTCTGTATTTCCTAAACAAAGAAATGACAAAGATTAATTAACATTAAGTAGCTTATGCCATTTTCTTTAAGAAGATTTATACCAAATCAATTATACTTAAGATAATTATACTTTGAGCATAACTTTACAAAGCATTAGGTTACAGAAAAAAATCAAGTGATAAATCAAAACATTTTATTAAATGTCAGAATATTTCTTTGTAACTTAATAACAGTAATTTATAGTGCACTGAACAAAATGCATGCCATAAACCACACCCCACTGTGTTTTAGAAAGTTTTCCTATTATGCATGCAAAAGATCAGAAACAATTAGAAAAATTGCCATATAGTAAAACTAGGGATAAAGGCTCTATAATAGCAAAGCAGTATAAAATCAAAGCTCTTACCAAGGAACTTTAAAAAATAGTATTACAATATTATAAAGTGGTTTTAGAAGATTGCATTGTCCATTCCAGATTATTTTATGAGATTTTATAAAGTCAAGATTATAAACATTACAAAATTCTATATACATTATAAAATTATATATACAATTCTTTAATGATACTAATATAATAATGAAAATAGAATTTTAGATACTAAAACATAAGCAGAAAATTACTTTGGAAGCAATTTTCTGCCTCATTTTCTGTATCAATTTACTTGCAGACAACATAGGTATGACCATTCCAAAGAGCAGTAAGAGTTCATTGAGAGGTTTTGTGATGGATAATTCATGCATTTTTATTATTAGATGACATGCAAAAATTTTGTGACTGTGACTGTTGCTTAACATGCATCAGTGGCCCTTTGCTTTGAGATACCTTGGAGTGCAGCTATAAAGTGTTCTGCTAAAACTGCACTCTGCCAGGTGAGTTTATTCCATCCTCCATCAGTTTTCTTACAGATTTTTGCCTCCTGATTTCTGGCAAGCCTTTGCTCTCAGTTCTAGGATCTGTGGTTGTTTCCTGCACACCCTGCATATGCTGAGCATCAATCTCTCCTAGTGTTCTGCCTTTTTCCCCATTCCCGGTTTTCTCTCCAGACACATTTGTGACACTAATCTCAGGAAGGACAAGGATGCCCAGTTCTGAAGTATCATTACTGTTGTCAGGTTGCTCTAGAATTGAAGATGATAAGACAAAAAGATGGCTGAAACAAAACAAAATAAAAATGCAAAACAAGAAAAACAAAAGACTCCGAAACACAAATTGGACAACTGATGTTATGAATTAAGCCAGCTACATTGGAGAAAGTTCCACAATTTATAATACGCTGACAACACTGGATACTATGGGGCTTTTTAAAGGAAAAAGAAAAGCTTCACAGAGCATTGGTTCATGTTCTGCAATTTTTCACATGCATATTTCACATGGAATATGGAATAGTTTTTTTGTAAATGAAAATAGAATTTCTATTGTTTGTGGCCAATTGAACTTATGTCTTGTCTTAGGCAAATGCTCAAAGTTGTATAGGAAAAAACTCTAGTAGCTCTTGGAACCAAGTCACAGAAAATCATTAGAAAACAAGACGCTTAGAAATTCCCCTTTGAATAATTTAAGTATTGAAGTATTGAAACGGACTCAATCAACCATAATATTGGGAAAACTACCTATCTACCTATAATATCATGGTTAGTAATGCAACAGGTTCAGTTTTTGTTTCACAGATCCCCTGTCTTACATAGTGACATGTATCTATCCTAGACTGTGTCTACGATAGAATTAAGCAGTCCATTTCTTCAGACTAATACTCATTACATACATTTAGTCCAGCTCATAACAGTTCACTGGTGAAAAACGAAAATGGATTTGAAAATGGCTTTTAGTCCTTTATGGCAAAAAGAGCCATGAACAATTGAAACCATGAACAAAACTCCTAACTAATATCTAAAGACATGGCTTTGTGTTTTAAATTACAAAGTATGGTTATAAGTAAAAGCGCTCAAAGAAATATTTGTGACCAAAGGGAAAAAATAACATGAATATAGAATGGACTGGTAGTGAAATTTTAAATTCAAATAACACAAGTATATACTTGTGTTATATACACATAAAACAGCATATACTTTAAAAAATATAGGCCACAAATCTTCTTGAGGGACATTTTCTTTTCAGATTGTTTAACAACAGAGTTGTCAAACTCTACCAGTGCTAAGCCTGAGAAGCAGTATTAGGCAATAAAATAGCAAAGGCTAGAATCATGACTTCCTAAGGTAGTCTACCTTTGTAGTTCAGTGGTTATCACCCATGCCTGGCACCCAACCCCAAATATTCTGATTTACAGTTAATTAGTCTGAGGTCATTAATAGTCTGAAAGTTTGGAAACCACTGCTTATTCTGATTCTTTCATATTCTGAAAACTTCAATGTTGTTATGAGTACCCTAAACAATTCTAACAGTCCTCTCCTTAAAATCCTCTTGCCCTCTACTCGTGAGCTGTTTGCTGGTATAACTATCTCCCTTCAATTTCATGTTTCATACACATTTGACTAAAGGTTCTCTAAAGGAAATTTGGAGAAGGATTTTAGTGAGGCCTGCTGGAGTGCCGATGCTTCTAGATGCTCTCTAATATAGGTTTAATGAGACTAAGATTTCCAACCAAGCCTATTCCAACTGCTAACACCTAACAGCTGTCTTGAAAGACAGGGCAAATAAATTCTTACATGCCAGAGATCACTGTAACAGAAAAATCACCATGGTGCTGTTGGGTGATAGCCAAGATTTGTCCATTTACACTGTAGATACCATTTCATATAAGAACATTAAAAGGACCTTGAGTCCAAAGGAAAATCATAAATGGTAAAAACTCCAGTCATAAAAATGAGTATTTGGATTTGGTAAAATTTTAAAAGATATACATAAGCAGTCAGTGTGGAGTTTTTTTGTTTGTTTTTAGAGCATGCACGTATCAGTCAATATTCTCAAAACTACCAGTGAGCCTCTAAAGTAGACCAATTGATTCCCATTTACAGAAAAGGAAACTGAAGTTCAGAAAGTGCTACATAAATATTCAACAAAATAGTGAAATCTTTGACTTCAAATGTTCATTCTAACAAATTCTAACTCCTCAAATCGTTACCATTAACTTGAGTTAAATAGCCTCTGACATCTCCCAGTTAGATTTAATTTATTTGTTTAGATTCCTGGTCATTTCACAGGAAGTACATAATTTACTTTGGCTAAATAAGAAGCTAGAGAAAATAAATTCTAGAGGAAAATCAAAGTCATAACCCTTAAGGTTTGCTTATTTTTTATATTTCTTTGTTTTATTAAAGTTATTCATTTAAAATGGTGCTTCAATGGTGGAAATTTGCAAGAAAACCTAAAAGTGACAAGAATATTACATAAATAGCATTAGACACTGGAATTGTTAATCACATTTATCAGGATAGTGGTAAAGATCTGCAGCCCAACAAGAAATGATATTATTTTTTAATCATGAAATTAAATGGCATATAGAAGAATGAGATCATGTGTTTTCCCACAAGAACAAATCTTTTACTAATTAACCAATGTAAAATAAATATTAACAGTGTAAAATTTTAAACTGCTTATAAATTCATAGAAAAGAAAGGCTTGTCATTCTGTGCACAGCACAGACTAAAGATAATTATATAATTAAAAAATATCTGCTATATGATCTTTCTCCCTAATGTCTTTTTCACTTCTTCCCCTATGTAAGTATGGCCAGCCTGTCCACATAGATCATCTCCTAGCTCTCCTCCAGGCATCACATGTTTCTCCTTGTATGGAAGGATTCATCTCCTCACTTCCTTCAGGTCTTTTCTTAGAACCCAGCAGTTTTAATACCCTCTATTTTGTTTTGTCCTAGAACTTATGACTCTCTTAATTTACAGTCACTTTTCTTGTTTTCTAGGTGTTTTTACTAGATAAGTATAACTTCCATGAAGACAGAAATTTTTGTCTGGTTACTGCTACCTAACTAATACCGAGGAAATTAGCTTGCATATAGTATACAATACATATTTTGATGAATTGAAAGTCTTTTGTTATTGATGTAATTTTTAATTGTAAAGTTGAAAAAACAGGTAGGAGACAAGAAAAATGTAAACCGTAAACACGCTTTTTTCTAGTTAAATAATGCATAGCATATTCTAATGAACATATATATTTTTTTATTTTATTTTTTTCCGGTTATGGGGCCTGAACTCTGAGCCTGGGCATTGTCCCTCAGCTCTTCAGCTCAAGGCTAGCGCTCTACCACTTGAGCCACAGTGCCACTTTCAGCTTCTTCTGCTTACGTGTGTTGAAGAATCAAACTCATGCATGCAAAGCAAGCACTCTAATACTGAGCCACCTTCCCAGCCCCTTAATGAATATATTTTTATGGCAAAGTAAAGGTTCCTTGTTTTGCAAAAGTAAAATAGCCACTATAAATGAAGATTTAATAACATACTAAAAATAATATAAAAAGTAAAGTAATACTAAAAAGATTATTTTGCAAAATCTAGTTTTTTTTTGGTTCATTCCCTCAATCCTAGCTACTCAGGAGGCTGATATCTGAGAATCATGGTTCAAAGCCAACTTGGGAAGAAAAATCCATGATATTCTTATCTCCTAAAGCACCAAAAAAGCTAAAAGTGTGAAGTGTGTCTGTGGCTCAAGTGATAGAGAGCTAGTCTTAAGCAAAAAAGCTCAGTGCCCAGGTCCTGAGTTGAAGTCTTAGGACCAGCACACACACACACACACACACACACGCACGCACGCACGCACGCACGCACACACACACACACACGAAAAAAAATCTAGTTCTTTTTAAATTTCATTTTCCAAAAATATAGCTTGGGGGAGACAGTTAAAATCTTTCAAGAAAGGCATATAGAAGATTAGTAAGGAAACACAAATTTAAGAATAGAATTTGTGCTGGGTGACAGTTCTCATGCCTGTAATCCTATCTACTCAGGAGGCTGAGATCTGAGGATAGAAATTCAAAGCAACCCAGGCAAACAAATGCCTGAGATGCTCATTTCCAATTAACTAGCAAAAAAATGGAAGTGGATATATAGGT